GGTCGACGAGGCACGTTTAAAGCATGAAGCACATGAAGCACCGCACATGCATTGAGACTTTTTGCTATTTCGGCTGGAGCCTTGAAGCCACAGCCATCTTCTGAGTGTTTGCATGCAAAGTGAGGACACAGCTTCCTAAACCAACCGTGCAAACACTGGTGGCAGACAATGTCGTAGACCTGCTACGCTTGAACAGCGGCCATCAACTTGGCTGGCTTGCCAACGTGCAGGCCCTACTGCCGGCACTTGTAGATCAGACGTTATCTGAAACGCTGCTGTTTCCCACTCAGACAAACATTCTGGAACCTGCGGAAAATGGCTCTGTTCAAATACTATAGCGGTGTGTCCCAACACCCCTCCGTTTGTCAAATAGCCAACTATGTCCAGGGTAATGAACCATTTGCGATGAACGAAATCAGATCTCTCAAGAACGCTGCACTGCAGAAAGCCCTCAACTTTGCGTGTCCTGCTGTAGTAAGGACCTGCTGGCGACATCGCATGGTCTGCCTGACATGGATTCGGAAAGATGTCCTTGCTATCTTCGTGCTGGCCAAAGTAGTTTGCTGACATCCTGAGTCAATCTAACGAGGCCACACGCGGGACACGCACGAGCCCATCGCCATCAAAGCAGCTGCCGAGATCTTCAGCTGTCGCTCATGTGCAAACTTCAGAGATGCTTTGAGAGCCTGATCTCGTTCAAGGCCATGACGCTGCAAGCGTGCATGCGTTTAGCGTGGGACGACACCCCTGCGAACAAGAAGCTTCAGGAGGTAAGTTATCAACCTGCGACTTCACAGAACAAGCAAGCAAAACAGGGAACAAATGGAAAATTCCGAGTCCGCATGACAGGCCTTCGTGCGGATCAGCAAAGAACTGCCGGTGGAGGCGTGCCAAGTTGCAGAGCGTAAAACTCTGATTACTTTTGTGTTGCCAGGCCGTGTTGGACATGCTGAAGATGCAGTCGTGTGATTCTGAACCTGAGTGCTGGGTTTCCGACTTAGCAAATAAGTAGGCGTGACAGCATTTCTAAGGCCTGAAGACAATCCCTGCCATTTATTCATTATTCCTGCAAAGTGTCCAAGCTCACTCTGTCTCCCTTCCTTCCTCGCCCCCGCTCTCTTATCTCTCCATGTCTATGGGAGGTACTCAGAAGAATCCTTACTAGAAGGATCCACACCCCCTCGATCATCCGATACAGCCCTGCGGTCCATATATGGGCTCCTCTTTTCTAAGAAATCCCATGTCTATCCACTAGAACTATCCATCTCTCTCTCTCTCTCTCTCTCCATCCATTCCTTGTTTTCTTTTGCTACGTACTTCCTTCTGCCTTGTCAGGTCAAGTCTGTGGAGCTGTCCAAGGGCAACCCTGATTTGGAAAACCGCGTTTTCCAGTGTGTGCACAGGCAGCGCACTGTGTTTAAACATCACGTGGCTTTCGCACGTGGTTTTTGTGTGACCTGCAAGTTGCAGGTTGCTTTGTGCGGGCTTTGGCCCTTCTCTGGCTGAGCTTGGTGCTGCTGAACTCGTGGTTGAGGCCAGTGTAGGCTAGTTTACGTTACAGGGTCAACCCTAGATACCCTTAGATACTGGCCTCTGGCGCTGCCTTTCAAGCGAAGGCCGCCGCGGATGTGTAAACTGCTCTGCTTGGATATATCTTGGAGGCAATGCAGCGCTCACCGCAGGATGCTGGCCTACAGAGGGCTGCTTGTGAGGCCATACATTGATATGTGAGCAGCCGCATTTATTTACGTAAGAGAGTACAGGGCTGGGTGCGTTGATATTGTTGCATTTGGATGCATGAACGAGATAGGCCACAGTTTCTTTGGCAATAAGAGCCCAGTACATGTTCCAAGATGGCGGACGAGATCAGGTGATCTCGTCAAGGTACAATACAACATTTGATATAAGGCGAACGAGATGAGGGGTCGTGGATTAGAATGCCAGAAGGCACAGGTAATGAATAAAAACCGGCGCTCACGTGTTGGCTTTGATGTTTTTGGCAGTGTCGACATCAAGTTGGGTGCCCATGAGAGCATTCCATGCAGGTGTTGGCAGGCCTTGCCTGGTGCAGCGCTGAATCTGTCATTGCTGCCGGAGGCCCGACAGCTCATGAAGAAGACAGGAGGCTGTATACAGACAGTAGCTTCCCTCGCAAGATGCCAGAGACCCAGACCGGAGCTTGTCCCCGATACGGCACCAATCCGAAAAACTCATGGCTACTCGTTGCATACGATATTCTGGATCACGAAATGTCCAGGTATATCAAGGTGACGTTTCCCACCAAGCGTCCACATGCCTCTACCCGCTAGTCTGTGTATGTGCGATCGACAGTATGTAGCTGATCAGTACGGGCGTGGCTTTTTTGAGTTCCATGGACTGGTGGTGAAAGTGGATGCTCTATGCTTGCTGCAGGACTCCAGGCCATCATGAGAGCCTTGCGATTGCATCAAGCCTACGCGTGGGCAGGAAGCTTGGGAATTAGTATGCATCTGATCAGCAACCGGGAACAGTGACTTCGTTGTGGACCATCGCGTTCGCGACACAACTCGAAAGGTGTGTGTGGCAGCTTTACAATCCGTGCTGTCTCTCTGCATGAAGCTCCAGCAGGCGCGAAACCGCGTTAGGATATCCGTAGGATATTCAGGATTGCATTCATGTTTCGATGCATTTGACTCCTGACGCAGTGGCAAGCAACGATTCCGCAACAGTCTTGGCATTTGCATGTAGAAGGAGCTCTCGCACCTCACAGATCTGTGGGACTTGACCATGGGTGCCTTACGCCAGATGCCCGAAAGCTCGATGGATTTTGGGAAGGAGGTGAACATGTTGCGAATGAGGTCGGCATGCCAAAAGCCAGCGCGTTGTCCAAGTTGCGAGTCTTAGCCAGCAAGAAGAAACAGGGTCGTCAGCAAGCCATCGCACTCTTCAGTTTCGTTTACCAACGCTTTGGCTGGCCGAGGAACGACGTGTTGAATTCCCTGTCTCAATGCCAGGCTGTGGACGATTTCTGTGCTAGGGTTGTCTGCTCGGGTAAGTAGTTGCAGGGAGACCTTGTTTGCAGGATGGTGGCCGACCGCTGGGTCTGTCTTGGACTGGTGCTGATCCTCTGACCGCCCACGCTCCATCTCAGCGGAGTCACACCCCATCATTCAAGGCGCCCAAAGCAGGCTGCAGTCTGCTCCGAAGATTCTCAATGCAAAACATGCACTAGCCGACTAGACTGTAAGGCGGATGCGAGATGCGTCAAATCTGATACTAGGTATCATCAGATCAGTCATGGGAAGCTGCTTCGCAGGCGGAGTCTACTGCCGGATATGCTCGGGCTAGTGACATTTCATGGCCTGCAAACATTGAGCTGTCACACCCTGGATTCGTCCCTTGGGCTGGCCGCTGGGGATCCCTGTCACTTCATCCATCTCTCACGCGTCAAACCTCAGACCACGGCACAAAATGGTGCTGCTTACAGCATGTTATAGCTCATGGCGGGTGAGCTGTCAGTGCATGCTATCGGCCGATCCAACTGCCCGCTCTTCGTCTTGGGTGCTTCTCGTGAGGGGTGCATAGTGTAGCAGGTCAAAGTTGAGAATTAGATGATCGTACTGTGGATTTGGTGCATGGCAGCTTTGCCTATGCAACTCGGAAACGATCCGAAGGGTCTCTTGATGGCAATAGGCATGATAGAAACGAATTACTAGGCAATGAGGCAGTGGGGGTTTTTGTCCGTGCATGGCAGCTTAATCACGATAGCTCAGCTCAGTTGCGGTGCAGTTTCGTGCATCGAGCTTACTGCAGAGCCTATTTGTAAAAGGGGGGGGGGCGGGGTGGCCCAAAAATTGTTCGTGCAATTGCTGCTTTCTTTTTATCTCTTGCAAACACGGTCAAAGGCATTCATGCATAGACGCAAGCGTTGTATTCAATAAGTTTTGTTGTTTGCATTAATGAGCAGCATTTTCCATGCTCATCATGCCCTGCATGGTCTATGTTTTGGAAGCGGTTTGTTTCTGAAACGTTGTTGTACGTTGCTACCATAACTACGTCGACATTCTCCAACACGTTGCTTTCGCTAGAAGCCAATCTGACCCTGCTGAGATCATTTGTTTTGGTCGCCGCATCATTGAAATTGATTCGATTCTGAGGTTTGCAACTACAACCCTCTATATGTTGTTCAGTCGCTTTGCGATTTACATAGCGCGTCCGCTGCAGCGGCTAAGCATTGTGCAGTTGCTGCGGATACAGGCACTGAAAGGTCCGATGTCGATTTTATTAAGATTGCTTCGGACAAAGAAGAATGTGATACACTGATACTTCGAAAAAATGCGGATTTGGCAAACATGTTTCTTCATCCATGCGTTTCAATCATTCACGCACAGGCTCCGGCAGTATCACCCATACTTAAGGGTTGTTCATTTTTCTCAGAAGGTCGGTCTCTTGGTCGCCCTTTCACAACTGTTGGCGAGCACCTTACAATCCACAAGTTGTGACCTGATCATGTGTTGCAAATCAACAGAAAACACTTATGGCAGGCTTCAGTAACCATAGCAACAAAGATTCTTCAGCCGCCTGAAATTGTGAAGGGCATGTTCGAGCACAGTCAAATCTTTGCAAGCCCTTTCGCGCACCTTGCGCGCTCCTTTTGTGCGCACGACCGTTTGTTCTTTTTCAGGAGACTATGAAGTGGCATGTTGGCATTCTTGTTCTTTTGTGCTGGATTGTGGACTCATACATGACAGCGACTCATAACTCATGTGGCATCCAACTTCCAAAAAGCAAGGAACGTCTTGGGCGTAGTTTGGACCTTCGCTGGACACGTTGAATCGTGTCGGATTGGTAGAGGAAACTTTTCTGTGCTTTCACCTTTGGGCGTCGCTGACTTGAATTACCTTTTCATAGTGTTTAACCTGTTTTTCAGCAGATGTAGGCAGATGTGTCATGTGCTCGCGCACGGCCTTTTCTCGATTTCTTCAGTGTAGGGACGGGCATTGCAGTAAAGCTCTGCAGCCATGGTAAGCGCTCATGAGGACAGCTTTGACCTTGATCTGAATCGCTCGGAATGAGGATGAGGAGCAATGGTATGAGTTCGGAATGCACAGGACGATTACGACTATTTGTATAAAGTTGTTTTGGCCGCTGCCTCAATCCCTGGAGTTGCCATGAGTTTTGCGCAGCTTGTCTGCCCAGGTTGGAGATGCCACTGTTGGCAAGACACATTTATTGTGAACAGCTTAGTGAGCTGGCGTACTTGCCACATGGCATGAAGAATTCAATCACCGGCAAGGTCGCGGTATATCAAGGGGTCTCTGCCAAAGAACCCAACAGCCACGCAGCTGGCCAAGACTGCTACTAACTCCAGAGTGGACAGTTTGCCATTGCATCCCAAGTGCGCCGTGTTTGTTAGGATTGGTGTAGAATTCGCAACTCGGACTGTGCCACTTGCTGCTTGGCGCTTAGTCTGTGCCACGGGAGACACGGCCCATGTGTCATAGGGCGGGTTCATACTTGCTGTTCCCTAAGGTGGGCGGCACTGTGAAGGCACAGATATGGGACACTGCCGGCCAAGAGAGGCTGGGAGTGGGTGTTTCTGGCGCTTCCAAGCTGATTGTTTTCGTACAGGTATCGTGCAATCACTAGCGCTCACTACCGACGAGCTGTGCGCCAGTCAGCATTTGACTTTTTTTCGCGTCAGATGCATATATCATGGCAGGTTGGTGCTCTGTTGGTTTACGACATAACCAGAGAAGGAACATTCAAGAGTTGCACAAAATGGATGGAGGCATGCAGGGAGCATGCCTGCACAATGCTCATTCTATGGTGTATATTTATTACAGACACCTTGTCGAGGAACTGCGACAAAGCGCAGAACCTGACATCGTGATCATGCTTGTAGGCAACAAGGCACCAATCAGCGCGGCAGTGTATTAGGCAACTCCGAAAGCACTTTGCCGTGCCCAGGGAAAGGTGAGCAACAATTTGTTCAACGCGTATATTATGGGGGTAGAGGACCTAATAATGGAGAATCCCTATGCATTTTGATGAAGTAATTATGAATTAATTAAGGGTATCTTCCCCAATAATATGGAAACAAAAACCTTCAATGGGAGGTCGACCTGGTCGAAAAGGATCCCTCCCTTCGCCAGGCCTGCGGGTGCCCAAACAAAATCAACACAGGTATTCTGCTGTGTGCTATCCAAGTACCGCCACGATCTCATTAATGTATCCATGATGAACAAATGTCAGAACCGATGTTGCTGATTGCAGGTCTATTATGATGCTGCGCAAGAGTTCGCCAAACTTCATGGGCTGATCTTTGCAGAGGCTGTTGATGCACAGCGTGGCTAGAGCGCTTTGATTTCATTTTATCGTCTGGGCTGTGGCAAGGCCAGCGCGGTGACAGCCACCAACGTAAAATATTGTTTCGAGCACTTGCTGCAGGTTTGCTGTGAGCTTGTATTGAGCTTCACACGCTTTGTACACTGTATGGCGCAGGAGATCTATGAGCAGACCTCCAAGAGACGAGAGCAGCAGAGCATCGACCAAAACATGGTGGGTGGTGGTATACAGGCAAAATTCTCTTGTTTTTAGTCAGCTCTACATGAAAGCATTCACTAGCAGCATGTGGACTTTTCACTCCTTTGTCGTGAGAATCTCCGTGTAGGTTGCAGCAATTGGGCCAAAGACCGACAGCATGCGACTTAAAGACGTTTCCAGCTGGGAGCAAAACATGTGGCCCATTTGCATGACTCAGGTTGCGACTGCTGACTTTGGTTGACGTACATTCCTCCAATGCCTACAGCAGTGCTTCATGAGACATGTAAGCATTGTTCTGCAAGGGCTGGACTTGTACAGCAGTACCGCTGTCATCCATCAGCGCCGTGCCTTGTGGTATCTTATGGTTGATGTGCATCGTGCACAGCTGATTGGCCTGTTGTGCATGCTCGCTGATATGGAAGGGACAGGTTGAGCATTTCTTGCCGCAGAAATATGTGGCAGGAAGTTTGCCCAAGTAGATGTGGCAAAGACCACCGGTTCTTGCGGCCAATGTTGGTGCGTGGTTTACGAGGGCCTTAGTTGCAGACCTCGACCTGATAACCAACCCAAAAAGCGTTGCTTCTCGGGAAGTTTGAAGTTGCCTTGGGAATGCATCTTAGGGTAAAGGATGCAGTGGTGCCATGTGACCATGCCTGTCCGGCCGGAATCGGCTAGAATTCCTTTGATTGCTTGCATTAGCTTGGGTTCAAGTCCGAGCACGTCCCATGTGAAGATGGCTGCGGCCTTGAATTACAGTCAAGCTACACAGTTTGTTCGTAGCTTGGTGCTTGACTTGCCCAGGGCAAAGACAATGAGCAAGTTCAGGCCTTCAGGCAACAAAGCCCCCTTGTTCGGAATCCCCAGCGCTGTCCAGGGCCGGATCAAGAACTTCAACATCTTGTGGAATGCGCGGCAGAATGAAGTCATTGGTACTGAGGACCCCTGCTACTCTTCAATAGGGATTGTTGCAAATTGAGTAAGGCCAACATGGACGGCACCAGCCACATTTTTCTGAGAGCATTGAATCCAAGCTGCCTCAGTTAAAGCTGGTTTGAGGTCATTATCCGGCAGCATCACAAGCATTTTGTTGTGCACAGTTGGGCCAGTAGGCTTGTCGCGCATGAAATTCCAGGACAAGCTTCGCTGGGCCATGCTTGACAAGCAGATGGAGTTTCGAAGGTCGCAAGGAGAGATCAGGACCTGTTCTGCATTTAATTTAACGCGTGGAAGTTCCTGTTCTGTGCTACTGACTGTCAGATTTTGGCAGTGTGGTTTGCTTGCAGGACCGTGAAACTGCCCAGAGCCCTTGCCTGAACATCGCAGTCCACGATTGCTGGTTTGATTTGTGCTGTTCTGCTAGGCCCACACAAATATAGGCCCGTTTCCTGGTTGCAAGAGGCGCGCGCAGACTGAGCTTCGCACTGAATACTGCATCATCCCACTCCTGTAGATGACCAGGAATGCGCAACTCTCTCCTCGCAAGGCAAGGTCAATAATCACCATGCAGCACAGGAGGTTCAAATCATTTGATATTGAGCCTCGTGTCGCGTCGCTGTTTCTACCATGACCTGCATGGTGACATACCTGACTCCTGTGCAGAGCGCTGCGGTATGTTTCCTGGAGCAGCGCCTCCTGAGGATGGGCGGAGCTTTTGAGCTTCATGCTGTGATGGCTGAGTTTGCATGTGCAGGGCAGACAGCGACAGCAAGATACAGACCATGCGCGATAGTCTTTATGATGGTGTAAGCGGCACCGCCAACATCCCAGACCTTCGCCCCTGGCATGCTCTAAGCAGCATCTTCCCATGTTGGCCTAAGGGCGAAGGGCGATACAAGTATTTGAAGCATCGAGCAAAAACCAGCATCCAGTCGCGGTGCCCCAGCATGGTTCTGATGTAGCAATTACTGGCTCGCCCTACGTTTTGTGGTAATGTTCAGTGTACGTCGCGTGGTTTATCATGACGTGCATTGACAGGTATGGAGATGAGCCTACGACAACATCGCAGGAGTATGGCTGGAGCCGGCCGACAGGCTCACACAAGTGAGTTTGGTTTTGCAGCCTGAGCCCGCAAGTTGCGCAGGTGAATATCGAGCATCTCCGCAGGAGGCTGAGACGAGCGCAGAAGAATTTGTACCTACGCAGAGATGGCCTTTTCGTTGCGCTTGGCCCTGAGCCGGGACTGAGGTATTGTCACAAGCCTGGCGTGGTAGATGCCTTCAATCGGCCAAGTGGAGTGATCACGTGCGAATAGCCTCCGTTCCTGGCATGCAGAAGCAAAGATTTGGTGGCTTGTGCAGGTACAAAGACCTGCCTTTGCAGTCCAAGCCTTGAGGCATTTCGAGGAGCAACGATCTCGGATGGCCCTTGTCAAGAAGTCCAGGATGGGCGGGAAATGCCGAATAGCTAAGGTGTGCGCGTGGCCTGCAGAGCACTTGAACACGAAGCTTGAGATTCACATCTAGCATAGCTGATCGAGCGTGCGCCAACCAGACGTGACAATTGTCCGCCTTAACACTGCCACATATTGCTAGCCCGAGCTCTAAAAAGAGGTAAAGAGTCTCACTCCGGTTGGCAATTGCTGAGGGCATGTTCTCATCCATCAGCTTGCAGATGGCTTCGCGAAGCGAAGTTTCTGCATTGTCGACAGTGCTGCAAGTTTGCAGTCGGGCAAAGGTCCAGCATGTTCCCGGCGCTTGCTTCAACATGTGACACGCCTTTGTGCACAACGCCCGCATGCGCCACATTGAGCTCTCGCGGCCAAGTAGTCTCAAGACAGTCGTTGGTCCCTGGTTGTGCCTGACAATACATTGCCACTTGGTTACATGTTCTGCTTGCGTCTCCGAGTTCCAAGTGGCTGGATGGTAAGGTGCTGAAGACATGAGGGCCAACCGCGCTGGCCCAACGCGGTTCGCAGCTTGGTCATGCTCCGTCTCGGATTGCGGTGGCCGATGCTTATGACTTCTGTGCACAAAGCCAGCAGACAAGCTTCTTCTACTGCATACTTTTGCTACTCTGTGCTGTATTATTCTCCAGGCCGGCACCTCGAAAGCAGGGGGTGGGCTTGATGAATGTTGGCTCCTCAGACAGCTGCAGTTATTGTTTGTCTAGGAAGAAGCAGAGATTTCTCAGGCTATTCAGCGACAAAAGAACAGGCCGCACTTGGCTTCACGACATGCCCACCATAGCTTGAACTTGTTGGCATGGCATGGTACATCCTGAGAGTGCCGGCTTTAGTGTCCCCAACAGTTTGGAATCCCGACAGTTCTGATTTGCAAGCAGCTTTTCTTCATACACTCTTTGATGGACTCTGCAAACACCAGATTGTTGCATTTGGCACGCCATCATGTGATGGTTTCATGCTGGCAGGCCGCAAACTGCGCCAAAGCAGAGGCCAGAGACAAGCTGAGCATAGAATAGTTGAGAACCATCAGCTGGAGAAGATAATGGAAAGTGAAATGGAAGCTTGCTTTATATAGCAGTTTATAGTGGAGAAAACCGCATCGAGCTTCTCGCGGACAAGCTTCAAAAAAAGGCTTTATGCCAACGCACCAGAGTTCATGAACTCGAGCATAAAGTACGTACTTGAAACGCTCTGTTCGCACCCAGTGTCCAGTCCTGTATCCCGCCCCGCCATATTCTCCAGCAAACCTGCTCCAAAACAGGCGAATGCAAGTTCTGAGTTTAGCTATCAAGCTGCTTACCCCCAGCATGCAATGGTGGTCCTGCAAAGACTGCATACCAGTCGTGACTACTCGTGACCCCTTGTCAACAGCAGCGTCATAAACATGACGACTTTAGCAACTCACCTCAAAACTATCAGACTGCATCCACACCATTCTCAACGTAGCTCAACAACATTTGAGGAAGTTTTGATGGCTCCACCCTGGAACAACCTTGGCTATTCCTTCGCCCCGCAGCAGCTTGCGGTCACTACCAACCTTCGACCGTGATTCAATACCACTAGCAACAAAATACTGTAGTTCGAAAGCTCAGCGGCGGCTATGTGGCCTCGGGAGCATGGAATCGAAAAAGCAAGCAAGGTTGTCAGTGAGCCTGCCGGCAACGGTGTAGACGCCAAACCTCCTGTCAAGACTTCTGAGCCTTGAAATGCCATCCCTCAAGCATCCCCTAGAAGAATGCCCAAGCGTCTGTCCGCAAGTACAAGCTTGCCACAAAGTAAAGGTAGAGCATGGTGTCACAAGATACAGGACAAAATGAGCGTGGTTTTCTGAATGCTCTGGCATGTTGTGTGCCTTGTTGAGGCATCACTCGCTTCTCAATGCACCGTAGGTCCAGCGTTTCAAGCTGCGCATTCACTTTGTCATGCGCAGGGACTCTCCTGCCAGTGATCCTGACTCCACACTGGCTTGCTTCTCAGACAGTCAGCCCATGCATGCTTTTGCAGACGTGCTCATGCACAGTTTGGAAATTTCGAATACACTCGAGCAAGGCCGGTCCCGCTCCAGCATCCTCAGGCTTGCTGGCTTTGGGGTAGATGCCTGCTCTTCGTTAGGCTACAGTGCGAATGGAAGGAAGGTTGCTGACAACAAATAGCACCAGCAGCACTTTGATGAACGATTGGTTTGTTTTGCAAGGTAGTGCTGTACCTCTGCAGCGGGCGCAGTTGCCTCAATTTGTAAATTACAGCCACAGAAGGGCAAGCTGATGGGCGATGATAAGATGAATTCGTACACGTTTAATGGGAGTTTGGCGCCCAACGGGTTCACAATAAGGTTTGCTTGATGGGTGCATGAAATGCAAGGCTAGGCCGCTTTCCTGCCACCCGTACGGATGTTGAAGTAATTTAGGGGCTGGCTCCGGGAAGTGGGGCCCATGCAAATTATGTTTGCTCTAACGTCCACATTCACGTTTGGTTGCTTGAAGGTGCTTTGCAGAATCCTCGGTAATGATGTCGGTGTGTAGGGGGACACGGGACGCAGCCACGTTTCTGTGCGTGCTGATGTTAGCTTGGAGAAGCAAGGCCCACTGCAGACCTTGGAGGATCGCTGTCAGCGCAGTCTCCAGAGCTGGATTCCAAGCAGTGCGGGGATAATTACGCCTTCTGCGTAAACGTATCACCTGATACTTTCGAACATGCAGTGGCACTGTTTTCCTGGAAGGCTCAGTGTTTCTGATTGATTGACAGGGTTGGGGATGGCATCTTGCTACGAGTCTACCGAGAATGGACAATGTGGACAGCATACGCGACGTTCATGCAAAAGATGCGCTGGCTGGTCGCTGCCATACATCGAATTTCAAGCTATGACGTCCGTTGTCCACTTCTAGATTTTGGGAATGAGGACTTTTGGAAGGACGAGTGCTGTAGCTGACCTTTCAAGTCAGCATTTATCTCATGCTTCTGGATCACGAATTCCGGCTTTTAGTCGAAGCTGACTTATGCGAAGCAAGCAGTCGCTGAAGCCGTGCTATGACAGAGAATAGGCCAACTCCAGCTGCACAGCCAAGCAATGCGCCGAAGCCCTGTGCTTAGCAATTCAAGTGCTGAGCATTTAGCAACAGATACAGGGCTCATGAGCAACTGGATGCAGGGAGTCGGCTGGTGATTCCGGCCTGCTGAAGGCCTCCCCCCTACTATCAAGCTGCGCATCTCTCTTTCACATTGGCCATCTTGATGGTAGCCCTCCAGTGATGATCCTCCCTACCGCTGTCACTGTGCCATGTCAGATGGGTTGTTCAACGGTCTTGTTTAAATTCAGCTTCGTAGCTCACATTCTTGAATGAGGCGCGATCAGTGCTTGTCTCAGCAAAGGAACCAGCAGGCCGGTCCAATCATACAAGACTGAGCTTATGCAATTTCCGTTTGCAGCATTAGTTGCCGTTGGCTGCATCTTGCTCCTGACAGGGATGCAGGGACTGGCGAGGCGGGCGCCTGGCACTCAGCTTGTGTATGCCCAAGGCCCGCATCAAAGGTCATAGTCGAAATCACTTCTCGGAAAGTATGACGTTACCACCAGCTGGAAACAACATGTTGCTGTCTTGGCTGCATGCGTCATGCTTGTTCGTTGGCAAGGCTTGCGCGGTCAAAGACGAGCGCAACCACCGACGAGCGCTGGTCTGAGCGTACTGCGGTCGGGTCCGATCATGGCAGCCTGATGTGGCGATTTGATGTCTGTGCCGGTGTAGATGCTCCATAGTGACAGAACTTTGAAACTTCAGTCTACCCAGGCTTGGATCAAAGCATTGGGGACTAGCTTCAAATAGAGACGTTTTAAGATGTGTGAGTGACGAGGTCTGCTCCTGAGCCTGCAAAGCCGAAGCCTTTGAGGGTGTGTCCTTGTTTTTAGCTGCTGGATTGAGCCATAGTCATGCGCATGAGACTAGGCATGAAAGCCTCCCTTGCAGCAGCTTACTTTTGGCTGCCTCAGGAGCGCTGCCAGCAGCGGAAAGCCTGCGTTGAGCAGGGTCGTTGGCCTAGCTGAAGGCAGCAGCGGCGAACCTGTCTTGTCGGAGTTTGGCAGAGGCTCGTTCTATGCCAGCGCCAGAGGAGCAAGGCAAGCCACACCCGGCCAAGCCTTGGTGACAATTGCTGGAGATTGGACAAGTTTTTCATCAGGAAGAAAATCTGCTGACGCCAGCCCTGCCAGCTGTCTTCTCGGTTTTTCATACAGGCAATCTTGTTTGGATAATTTGCACCGTGTTCAGGTTCTCCGCCGGAGCCCAGCATCGAAGTTCCAAGGCTTGGAGGGAACCTGGGGGAAGGCCAAGCGGCAACAAACCTTCACCAGGGCACGCCGATCACCCATTGTGACACAGTCCGTGGAAGTCGAAGAGGTGTTTGTGGCTCAGGCATGATGTCATGGGTGGTGCTGCACAAATTTGCACGTCAAGTTTCGCAAAGATAGCCTCAGATAGCCATAGGGCTGCATACAAATCACGATTATATGTTGGATGTTGGAGTAGCAGTACGGCATTTTCGTCGTGCGAGAGAACATCATCTAGATATGAATTCCGGGAAACTGGCTAAAGAAGCCAGTGATCAAGATGTACAGCTTCAATTTCTTGGTGCCGCAGAACTCCAACAATAGCCATGGCCATGGTAGAAACGGGTGTCACAAGTACATGTTTTTCAAGCACGCTGCAACGGCATGCTCCGCCGAGGTCTGCGACCCCGGCTTCAAACGCGGCAGGTTCAAATAAGCTTGGCACTCAGATGTTCAAAGGCGTTCAATGGCAGCTTGCCGTTGCTACAGGTTGCCGGAGCAACTTCGCAGGTTGGAGAGTTTGCACGAGTATATTTTCATGTGGCACTGGCACTGTCTCTTGGCCTTCGCTTCACTGAGAAGTCCAGGCGAACTGCTTTGATGGCTGTG